AATAATAATAATAATAATAATAATAATAATAATAATAATAATAATAATAATAATAATATTTCAAAATCATAACCAAATCTCAGCAAAGAAACACCTACAAAAACTCAATCCCCCACCAAAAATCCCTTCTATCTTTCAGGCGTTTTTGTAACTGCTTATTTAGGTTATGATAGTGACTGAAAGCTCCAGCTTCCAGGAAGGAAAGTGCCATTGACTTAACGGGGGCACAAACTACCCACCATGAGATTAAATTTCAAATGTTTCACTTAGTCACTGTGAGTCCCAGTTCCCCCTGTGCGTGATTCCGACTGACTGGCTTCAGCAACAGCTCAAGAACTAGGAGGAGAGGAGAGCAGAGCAGAGGGAGAGGAGAAATGTTATGAGCACTGGGGTTCCCCATGAAGAGGAGGGACCTGGAGCATGGTTGGACTCTGCCTAGCAGTTGCAATGAGGGAGTGACTGCTTCCTGGGTCCTGACATTCTGTTACTTGTGTAGCATAGCTCCTCTGAACAAGTCCACCTCTAATTCCAGGAAACAAGTTCCTGTGATGATCTAGACCCTACAAAACCCAACTGTCCTTAGAACTCATCCCCTAAAATTAACACCGGTAATGCTGAGCGTCACGTGACAGTCCACACTGCTGAAAGTTCTTACCACGGCTTGTCTCCACCAGGGCAGATGATGTGGATGGAGTCCCTACAGTGCATGCTCTACCTCTGCTCACCTTTGCTTTGCACTTTGCACGAGCTGGAGGAGCGACAGATGCACATTGCAGACATTGCACCTCACGATGTGACCAGGGATTTGATTCTTCTCAATCAGCAGCGGCTGGCAGAGATGGAGCTCTCTAACCAGCTGGAGAGGAAGAAGGAGGAACTGCGGATACTGTCAAAGCACCTGGAGGAAGAGAAGAAGAAGACTGAAGCTCTGCTCTATGCTATGCTTCCCCAGCACGTGGCCAACCAGCTGAAAGAGGGGAAGAGAGTTGAGGCAGGTGAATGAACAGGGTGCATTTGTGGTGTATAATTCATGGATCAGGAGATGGTGACAGACACTGGCACAGACCCTTTGCCACTGCTGTGGAGCACATTCTCTACTTGGTGACGTTCATAGGTAGAAGGAGGACCACAGATCCTTAATCTTGCTGATAATGAAAAGATAGACTATTCTTTCAAAGAAAGCTTTGGAAACTGTTTGCCAGATTTTTTCCTTAGGAGGTGAAAGGTGATAGCAGCTGCCCATTCAGTGAACAAAATTCAGTGTTTCAACAGTAATTCAAGATTTTGGTTTTAACATGGATATACAGGGAAACAAGGGCTCAGAAATGAAAGGAATAAAGAAATTGGTCTTTCCTAGAAAATTCTCTAAGTTCCCCTATGCTATCTATAAACACAGAATCATAATGATTCCCATTGTTATTAAGGATAGCAAGAATATGCCTAAATTCCCTTTAGTAAGCACATACAGGGAGGTAGAAGTAAAGAGCTAAGTATATCCTGTGTGTGATATATTCAAATGCCTGGATTGTTTGAGGTGTGTAATGATTCTTATATTTGATATACTCTTATATCAACATTTCTCCATCTCAGAACACTTGTATGAGTATTACAACTGATAGGTGGTGTCTTAAAAGAATGACCTTTGCAAACAAGTCTCAAACAGATGTTGTGATTGTCCAGCCATTACAAGTACTTACCACTGGTCCTTCTGTTCACAGGAGAGTTCCAGGAGTGCACTATATTGTTCAGTGATGTCGTGACCTTTACCAACATCTGTGCCCAATGTGAGCCTATTCAGATAGTTCTCATGTTAAATTCGATGTACCTGCGATTTGACAGACTGACCACGGTGCATGACGTGTACAAGGTATGTACTGACTGATAAAGGCTGTAGAAATAGTCTGGGGAAAAAAAGTTTTTGTTGTTTTGTTTTTTTGTTTTTAAATGCAATTAAGTCCTCTTCACCCTGGCATGATTTTTTACAAACCATAAAATACTGCCTATTTGTAGTGGCCACACAAACTAAAAAACCAGTGATTAATTACATTTAAATGTTTTGGACAGGAGCATAAGCTCTTTCATGGTCTAAAATCTCTTTCCACAGCACTTATACCAGAATGGCTGTTCTTTCATACGTCTCTCTCTCTCACCTTTCTCAAATGCCTATCCAACATGACAGGATATCCTGGATTATGGACTAATTTGAATAATTTTCCTAGTTCCTTTATTCCAACCTGTTGTAAATAGGTCACTATGTCATTAAGTGTCTCCTTTAGTGGAGATGTATAACATTACAAACAATACCCAGATAATACCTAGACCTTTTTTTTTTTTTTAATTTCATGGAGAACTTCAGCAACGGTATTGATCTCCTGCTGACCCCAAAGAGCACCAACTAGATCTAGACTATAATACACCTGTGGTCTCCAAACCATGCTGGAAGGATCAGAGCCCTGGTTGACCTAAATTATCAGTGTTATTAACATCTCCAGAATTACCCAGATTTGATGAGCTGAAGAGCAGGTCCCAAGTTTCTGTCTGTCCCAAGTACATTAAATATTTAGGAAGGCAGAAATAGTAAAGGGTGAAATCCAAGTCTAATTCATTCCTTGTTCAGGCAAGGCACGCAGGTCATCCCACCATAAATTGTACTGGGAAATCAGAAGCATTTCTGCCTCAGCAAGGAAATTGTATTCAATAATTGAAGCATCCAGGATATGGCCCACAGATTTGAGGATAAATTAGCATCGTATTCTGTCTAAATCATCCATCATGAGTAAATGATCTGTCACTATAATAATCTCCTTTTGATGCCTGTATATAACTCCTATTAATATTGAAGGAGGTTACCAGGGTACAGCGGGGGAAGACAAGATTACTATTATAGGGAATTGAGAAATGGAATAGTGAAACTGATTAAAGAAACTTGGCCCAAGCTTATAAACATCTGAAGTTATGAATAAATCTTCTTAAATTAAATCTCCTATTACAGCTGAAAAATAATTAGGGTATCTATTTGCATTAGTAGCTTTTTACAGTTGTTTTTAATTTGTTACAGAAAATTACTGTGGGTTTGGCTATCTTATAGAAGGCATGGAGAGGAACACATTCTTTGAGACTGAGGTAGTGAACAGTTTTAAGTCATTAGGTTAATGAACAAACCCAAATATTAAATTATGTTTCCACTGTCCTATTGATGTTTTTTTTTAAGAAATCCAGTTAGTCTAATCTAAAAGTTCTCTTGTTTACTGATGGTAAATGTGACAGTGAAGTCTTGTAAGAGCAGTTTAGAAAATTTCCTTACCGTGTAGCAATCTTCTGCAGTGAATTTTAAACATTTGAGAATTCTCTATTTCAAACAGGCTTGTCCCATTCCCAGCAAAAATTCTGGTACAGAGACAAAATCCGAAGTGTTTCTCAGGTCCTTTATCATGCACTTCAAGGAGACCGAATGCCTGAAGGAGGATGAAACCTTCAACATTTGTCTTGCAGGCTGCAGCTGTTATTGGAAAACAGCTGGTTGTAAGGAAGGATGCTTCCAAACTGCTTAGCTCACACTGCGTTCTCTGACATCCTGGAGTCTGGAGGTTCCCTTAAGTTCGTGTGAATCCCTTAACCATCAGTGAATAGTCTCTCTTGCTTTATTGTGACTTTAAAAAAACCAAATCTCTCTTAAATAAGAAATATGCTTTCAGCACTAATTGTGAATTAGAGCTAATTAATAGCATTAATCTATCAGATAACCTCCTGGCTCAGGAGTCTGTGCCTGGGGATAGCCCTCTGCAAATAGGTCTGTCCTGGGTAAGAGGAAGGCAAACAGTCTGACACTTGCACAGCAACCTTTACTCCTTAGGGTCTCTCTCACTGATATCTAAAGTTGGTCAAGTAAGCAGGGACACAATGCAATGAAATTTTTAGCGTGGAGCGAAGGAGAGGATCTCTGTCGCAAGGAAATGCACCTGTGCATCTTTTAGGAGAAGGGGGGAGTTGGTGCAGACCCTAACAGCAAAACACTAACCTGAGCAAGATGTACATGGCATGCTCACGTGCTTGTCCCTCTCAATTAAAGGTGGAGACGATTGGAGATGCCTATATGGTGGTGGGTGGGGTCCCTGTGCCTGTTCCCACTCATGCTGAGCGAGTTGCTAATTTTGCCTTGGGGATGATAATTGCAGCTAAAGGAGTACAGAACCCAGTTTCTGGAAATCCTATCCAAGTAAGTCATTAATGCAATGATGCATGTGTGTCTGTCTGCTTTTTGGGTTGGGCTTCTAGTTAATGTATTGCAGCAGGACCTCAAAATGCTGCTTCTGACTCCTCTGTGACTTTGAACGAGGCCCACAGGGGTACATTTTTCATGAGGAGCCTTTCTGTGTGGAAATTTGATATCTTACTGGTGTCCAGTGTTGTGTTGAGATGAACTTTTAGCTGGCTGAATAGCATTAAGAAAGATGTTAAACAACAAGTGACATTTTTGGGGGGTGTTTTATGTCTTTGTAAAGATTCGAGTTGGGATCCATACAGGTCCTGTCTTGGCTGGAGTTGTTGGAGAAAAGATGCCTCGTTACTGCTTGTTTGGAGACACAGTGAATATTGCTTCCCGGATGGAGAGCCACGGTGTGCCCAGTAAAATACATCTGAGCTCCAGTGCCTATCAGTGAGTAACTGTGATGAAAACTTTACCTGTTAAAATCAGTGCTAAAAACCATTGCTTTGACAGCTGCAGTGTAGATGGTGCTGCCTTAGTCACTGATTTAAGCAGGTTATAAAGGAAAATCAATGCTTGTAAAAGAGTTTTATTTGTTCTGATTATTCCAATTGTACTTATATGTGGAGACAGAGATTTGAGAGTCTCCATCCTAGAGAGCAAAATATTAAAAAAAAAATAAATTGTGATAGCTTAGTTGGAAGTCCTGATAAAGTGATGTAGATGCTAGAAAAACAGAACATTTAGAACATTTAATATTAAAAGCTTTAAAATCTCTCTAATTGAGCACAATAATTTGTAAAGAAACAGTTTTATTTACACTTACTAAGGATTAACTGCATAAACAACTATCCTGTTCATGCTGTGAGTAATTTACTTTCCTGAAACTCATGTTAGTAAAAATTAAATTTTCAAGAATTTTATGTATGTATAAAATCTGTATGCAAGAGAGAGAAGCAAAGACAAACTGCAAAGAAAGAAGTACAACAACATTGTCTCAGGATATCACAGGAATGATATTGGGAAAGCAAGAACTTAGCTAGCGTTGAAAGGGGCAAGAAAAGTTCAAAGGCAGTCAGGGGACCTTCTGCTGTGTTAGCAGAGAAGTGTAAATGGAAATGTGGACCTGCTGTGGCAGGTGATTTAGAGACAGTGCCCTGAAGAAAGGCTGAGTTACTCAAGGCCTGTCTTGCCTCAGTAGTCACTGATGAGGTCTTCAAGGTCCCTGCACCAAGAGTCAGGGTTCAAGGAGTAGGTGAAGTACCAGTATTGCAAGAGGATCAGATCAGGGGGTCTTTTGAGAAATCTCAGTCCTTGGAAAGGTGTGGAAACAGATGGGATGTAAGATAATGAGAGAGCTGGGTGATGGCACTGCTGTGCTGCTGACTGTCACCTTTGGAAGGTCAAGACTGTCAGCTGAAGAAAGACAGATGTTACAGCTCTATGGAAAAATGGCAAAGAGGACAGGGTGTGAAACTATAGCTGATCATGCTCGTGTCAGTCCCAGTGAAAATCAAGTCCTCTTCAATCCATTTTTGGACACATGAAGGAGGCAATTGGGAGTAGCAAGTCTGTATGTAAAATGAAGTAAATCATGCTTGACAGAACTGATTGCCTTCTCTGATGGAATGACTGGAGATAATTCTGTCTAGCTGATATTGGCTGCCTCAGTCCTTAATTTCCGGTCAATAAGAACCCTCTACCACTCTGAAGTATTTGGCTTTGTGATCCACTGATTTTTGATCAGGTTGTATATGTTAAAATATAAAAGCACAGCAGGTCTGAATAAACAGTTGAAATAAACCCTCAGTTGTTCACAAATCAAGACTATTTTCCCCAAACTGTTATGATTTCATTACTTAGCTCTTTTAAAATATCAATGTAATTTTTGCTAATCTTGAATTTTCATGTTTCATGTCATTTTGTTTCTGATACTATAGGTGCCTAAAATACAAGAATTTCGAGATTACTGAGAGAGGAGAAATAGAAGTAAAAGGCAAAGGGAAAATGCACACATACTTCCTCATTAGAAATAAAACTGCAACTGAGAATGAGATTATGGGAAGGCCAATGAAAGACTTAGATTCTGGCCATGAATCTGTTCAATCTTTTCAAGAAGGCAGGACTGAAACAATACCAAGTTCTCATCAGCCAGGTAGGATCAACTTCACATATCTTTTCCTCCTTGAACAAATGAATGTTAATACAACACAATTAAATGCCCTTTTCTGTTCTTCTTTCAGTTACTCAGACTCAGCCAGAGAAGGACCAGACCCCAACTGTTGCAATGAAGTATGTTGATGGCCCCACAGATGCCCAAAACAGCCTCCAAAGAAGAAATCAAAGGAAAATTGCAGATTTAACAGGTAGTTATTTAGTTACCATTTCAGAGACAACAGAACTAGGAAGTAACTGAGGCTTAATCTTACAGGTTCTTTATATTCCTTTTCTAAATAACCGTTGTTGTAACTCAAGCCAGAAATTCATGCCAACATATACATGTTGGTGAAACTAAACCCTTCTGCACGCTGTTTAGGGTCAAACAAATTTCACCTTTGGAGCAATCCCAGGTGTTAACTGTGCACTAGGGAGAAAAAAGCTGACAGTGCTGTAAAACCCCAGAGCCCTTCTGGCAGTGCAAATAGAACAGATAAATGTTAGACAGCTCTTTGCATGGGCAGACCCAATTGTTCATGTACACATCTTTTCCTAGAAAACATGTAGTTATGGGGAAGCTTATCGAGTCAAGCCTGAGAAAGAGTGACCTCAGTCCTCAGGCCAGTCTCCTGCAGAAGTCACAAGGATTTATTCCCATGCTCACATTCTGTGACCAAAGTTTATCTCCTTTGAAGTAGCTGATACTGAGAGATAACAGATTTGATGCCATAACAGCCTAATCTAATGCAGCAAGTCTTGTAGTCCTATTTATGTGTTTTGTGGATTTTATACAGACTAAATATGTTGTCACTAATTACTAGCAAATATTTTACTCCTTTCCCTCCCACCTGCTTAGACATGGTAGTTAATCTAGTATATGATGTGCTGACAAACAGAAACCTCTATGGCCATTAAAAACTCACACTGCAGGAGTGTTTCCTTTCAGGCAAAACTTGTGATTCCAAAAGCGATGGGAGTCTCCATGGCAACCAGCATGCAGATGATGGTCCCCGTCCTCTAAACCAGGTTAGAGTCAAACCTGCTGCTGAAGAGCCACAGAACAGAAATGTTCGCTCTAATTTTTGCACTTTACTCTAAGTTTTTTAGTTTTACATTAAACAGAAAAAAATTATTATGATTTTCTGCATTTTGCTGTTGTGGGACTGTTTTTTTTATATTAAGCTCCACGTGATTTTGTAAAAAAAAAAAAAGAAAAAAAAGAACATTTCATCACAGTTTTCAGTAAAAATAAAACAGTGGAGGTTATTTTTTTTAAACAATCTACATGTGCTGTATAATACTCCCACTGGAGAAGGAAACCCTTGCAAGATGCTTTGAAGATGTATTTTTCAGCTTCTGCCATGTCTTTGAATATCCCCATGTAAAAAGCACTTTTTGGTATCTGATGCAGCAATCGAGAAAGAGGTGACTCATCCGGCTAGAAATATTCCTACTCAAATGAGTACTTGCCATAAAAGAAACATTCCCTGAAGTGACCATCTGTCTTGACTTCAGCACAGCCAACAAATTCCCTGTGGAAGGTTAGCAGAGTTTGATCTGCGTTTTAACTGTGATAACAGCTTAATCTCTTAACAGGTCTTTTGCTGGGCAAAGGAATTATGCAGTAGAAGTGCAGAATAGGTCTAATACAACCTGTATTTTTGCATCCTGAAAGGAAAATAGCATGTACTTGATAGCACCCAACAGTAAAAAAAGCATCTGTGACCTTTGAACCAGCCGTCCATGTGTAGGTGGGCGCAGAAGGACATGTAAATGGTGGAGTTATGTAGCATCAAATTTGTCACAACACTGGAGGACTGCTCAAGGCCTATGCACTATTTGAGACCTTCAGATGAGTTTCCAGTTTATTTCTCATTTTGTCAATCCAGCTAAACAAAAATAAAGTTTCAAGACTGCAGAGGGAGCCTGTCAGTGCTGGAATTAATGTTGCTAACATCATTGTGAACAACGGCATTAAAGATCAACATCACTTACCTGGTGTCAGAGGCTGCTCAGCTGAATTACTTCCATGCTGATATATTCTTAGATTATGCCTGATCAGAAATGGCAGAGAAAAATTGAAGTTCAGCTGTCAGGGATTTCATACGCAGGAGCAAAAATACAATGGATATAACGGCTGTGGACAATTCAGTGCATCATAAATTGTGCTCTCACTTCTATAAATGGAGCTTGGACTAGGTGGGTGAGTTTGACAGGAGATATATCCTGCACACTGATTTGTTACCTTTGGGCTTGGATTCATTGTCTAAGGGTGCCAGCATGAGACCAGTTTGAACTTTGAGCAAGAACTCACTGGAGAAGGTGATAATGTTGCTCCTCTGTAACAGTCTGGAGCATCATATTTCCACCTCTGTCCATGGCAAGAGCGAGGCTGTTTAAATACCAGATAGATGTAAGACTGATGAAAGGCATCTCCTCTTCTTTATAGTATAACAAGATGAAATTTCACCTGGTTAGATTTTTTTTTTCAAATCTCTGAGAGAGTAGCTCCCTAGTCTGGGTGCTCTACAGCTCTGTCTGCAGGAGCAGACCACTAGAGGAGGATGCATAGAGTGAAACCATCAGCACTGTTGTCCAAAGTACAAGTATTTCAGAGGGTTTTCTAGTGTGGTCCCATGCACTGAATACCTGCTAGCCGTTGGAGCACCTTATAAGCACATCCTCTGACTTAGTTTCATCCAGAAGAGATCCATTTTTGTGCTCTGAGACCACTCTACAATGTGAAACAAAGTAAGGTAAGTGGGTTTGCCCAGGAAATTCACTCAGGAGTGTAGTCCTGACTCTGACTGAAACGCTGTTGTAGGCACACCCTCCAACAGGAGCACTTTCCACTGTACAGCTGAGCAGCACCGTTCAGGGTGTTTTATGAATGGAAAGCTTTTTTATTTATTTGGATTTTGCTATCTGGGCATTGTTCATTCTTTGGCGAGGGAGAGATCTACTGTAGGTTGATGCTGCATCTAAGGATTGTAATTGTTAAGTTGGGGATCAGGATTTCAAACATTTGACTGTGTGCTACCCTCAGACACACAATGTCTGAATTTCATCTTCATCCTCAGTAACTCCTCCCTCCCGTTCATGGATTTGTGCTCCTGTATTATGACTGTAGCTTTAAAAAGACTTTCCTAAAGAGAGATAATACCCAATTTCTCTCTCACAATGACACAAATGTGAAATAACAGTTAAATCAGCACTATCCCACTGATGGAAGTCTAGAATCATCTCTGATGAGAGTCTTTTGTCTCCAGCCTAGAGACATGTTTCACTACTCTTGACTAGTTGTGCCAATGGAGTAGAGACCATGTCATTTAACAAATGTCAGTGCTGGACTGCATCATTATTGGTGTTCACTATGGAGATATAAAGCTACTTTAGTCCCAAGCACAAGTGTGACACAGGAGTTTACATCTCTCAGTGTCCAGTGCTAGTCCAGGAGGGAACATCCTGCTATCTCATCTGCTCTTGCAGTCCCACACCTGCATAGCTGAATACCACTGACCACCTCTCTGAGAAAAGGAATTTCTGGTCAGAAATTGTCCAACAAGCCTGACCATCAGTGAGTAGGGTTTAGTATATATTCTGGGGTTTAATACAGATATATTAAACTACAGAGTAGTTTTAGATAGAAGCTCAGACTCCTCTGAACTTGTATGGATCCTCTTGGGAAGAAGAAAGAAAAGGACCATGGTGTAATTACTGCCAGCATCTCTCTGTCTTTGAACACTCGCTTTGCTTATACCTGCCCTTTTTGCACTGAACCATCTATGGTTCATATTGGAATGTTTTAATTGCCATTGAGTGCTCCATGGTAAGTTACTTCATGCTGTACTGTGGTAAAAATGATGTGCTAAGTGATTTCTTTGTGGCCTCTGCTACAATCTGGTTCTCCTGGAGATATAGAGCTAGGTCAAATCTGCACAACTGCTTCTGAAAATTAATGTGCCTGTGTATCATCATGTGTTCTTAAATCTGTGGGCACTGCTAAAGACTGCAAAAATATAATTAAAAAATAAATCCATTAATATACCGACTGCTACTTGTCAATGACTACTTTGATTCGTGTCCCTCTTTTCCTTTCCATCTTTTCTGTTCTTTTTTCCCCTTTAAGTATACAAAAGTTTAAGACCATTATACCTCTAATAAATGTCCAATGAGTCTAATTTCTTGACCATACACAAAGTTGTATCTATTTGTGCAACATCAGCACCCCACTACCCCTGACATTGTCACATGCTTACTAGTATGCATTCTTAGTGTCAGTCGCCTACAGTGAACTGACATAAAAAGGGTGGGAGAATTCCCAGTATTGCTTCATGGAAGCTGAGGCTCAGAAAAATTAAGAGTTGAAACTTTTGAAAGTTGTCTAAAGCATATGGATTCTAAAATCACGTTAAATCTGGTGTTCAAACAATATTTGTCAAAAACTTGGGTACTTTAAAGGTCGAGGGGGCAGATTCTCAAAGACTGTTTTGTTACTTTGCTGAGTGAAATCAACTGGATTTAGGTGCTTAACTGAACACATATGCTGTGTCTCGTTCCTGACAATGATGTTTTCTTTAAAACATTTAGAAAACACTGCCCTGTAATGCCTTCTAAAATGGGCTGTTCAGTAAACTTTCCAAGCTGGAACCTCATTTACTGGAAGTCATTAATTCGTTAGATCTAATATTACAGTGCAACTCTCTGTGGACCCAAGCTGAACATAAAAATACACAAATAAAATAGCAGTGAAATTGAAATTATTACTTCAGTGGTGAGAATATATTAAAAGTGTACTTGAATATACAAAACATGGTGAATTTCAAAATGAAAAAAAGAGCACAGATTTTTATACAAATATACAACTTCATGGAAAATCTAGAAGGGGTTTTTTTTCCACCAGGTCTCTGCTTTCACTTTAGGAAACTGAAGAATTTAAGATCAGACAATGAGATGAAAATCTTCCATAAAGTTATCAGTACAAACATCTACTCTTCATGCATTCTCTATACAAAATTCAATCATCAGTTCCCTCTGTACATAAAGAAATAGCAATGTGCAGTATTTTGATTCCATAAATACTTGTAATCAAAATAAAATAGGACACTATCTTTACTCATATGATTAAAACTAACAAGCACTGTTCATTTTTTACAAGCTATCTCTAGTTCTCTCTCACATATATTTTGCACCTGTTTGCTGAATTTCTGCTAGTGATTTTTGATCCGAGCTGTGCTGAGAAGGCATTCCTGAAAAATTCTGATACTCACAATTCTTCCTATTTTGGCTTGGTGTACAGCCTTTAGTCTCCATCTGGATAAACACACCAAGCCAGAAAGAGATTTGTAGTCACATTTTCATACTGAGAGGTACTTATGCTCCCCTGTACTCCCTTAGAGGTGAACCTCAAATGAACAAGAACAGTTATTGCCAAGATTTGCTGAAATTCAGGGTGACATTAACTGACTCTCTAATGCTTTCTTAATTTTGCTTATTAGTACTGTGAAGTTTGAAAGTTATACCTACAGAGAAAACCTCACAGGCTGCTTAGTAGTTCTTACTTTGTCATTTGCATCAAATACATTCCTGCCCGCGGAATCAGCAAACACAAGCAGCGACAAAGATTATGATTTTTGTGACAAACACATCAAAACTAGCTTCAACAGCCTGTTTACATCAGTCCTGAGGTAAGGGGTCCTTGAAATGTGTTGCTCAGAAGCACTGTGTGGAGGTACCTTTGCTTTGTGTGGCTTCATCACAGTGTAAGGGCTTCCAGCTGACTTTGTCATGGCTTCCATTTCCATGCTGAACGTCAGGCCGTGACCCGAAACACAGGCTGGGTGATGCTCTGTGGGCATCCTGCCAAAGCGTTTTGCAATAGAGGAACCTGACACACAGCTATCATTTAAGGCCAATTTATCTCGGGGAATCAATAGCCCTTTAAAAATTCACTGGCTCACATATCCTTTTCAGCGATGGTCATCAGAGGTTTTGTGCTCTGGTTTTCCGGGCTTTTGAGGGAACTTTGCTTTTCAGCACGTGGTGACATATCCATTGGTAAGAGGAAACTGACAGCCTTGACTTTACCCCTGGAGAAAAAAATGAGAAAGCATTATGAGGATTGCAAATGTATAAAACATGCAAAGA